ATCCAATAAAAGACAAACTGGGAATACATATAACATATAGCAGATACTGTTAATAACTTTATTACATAAAATCTTAGAAATTACTAAGAAAAATAAATACAACTAATAGTGTGCAACTATTAATAAATACAACTAGTAAAAAATACAAATAGACAATTTTCAAAAGAAAAACACAAAGATGCCAAAAACATGATAAACTGCTAAACAACAACAAAATATCAATATTTTCCTATGAGATTGGTAATGATTACATAGCATGATTAAATTCAGTAAGGAGAATGGGGAGTGGGAAAATAAGCAAACTGTCACAGACTTTGTGGAATTGTAAATTGGTACATTTCTGGAAGGTAATCAAGCATCATATATTAAAATTTTCAATTAAAACTTCCTGATCCAGAAATTTCCCTTGTGGAAATTTATGCCAAGCAAATAGACAAGTTCACAAATTGTGTATACAGGGATATGAGTAGCCAAATCAACATAACAGCACAAGTTAGAAATAATCTAAATGCCCATATATATTCTAGTGGCTAAATAAATTATGGTATATCCATGTAATGGAATATTAAGTGGTTGATATTCTTACATCAAAAAGTGCTCCCTATCTATTGTTAAGTTTTTAAAAAGCAGACTACAGAATAACATTATAATAAATAATCATTTATATGAAGAAAAAAGTTTATATAAGCATGTAAAAATCTGGAAAAATAACTCTATTAATAATAAAAACCACCACCTACACCAGAATAAACCCAAAATAGATAGATTTATATATAAGTCATGATACCATAAAAGTACTAGCAGAAAACATAGGCAGTAAAATTTCAGATATCCCATGTAGCTATATTTTTGCTAATATATCTCCTAGGGAAGGGAAATAAAGGAAAATATAAACAAATGGGACTACATCAAATTAAAAAGCTTCTGCACTGCTAAAGAAACCATCATCAAAATGAACAGGGAACCAACTGTATGGGAGAATATATAGGTCAATGACATATGGGACAAGGGTTTAATCTTCAAAAAAAATAAAGAACTCATATGACTCAACACCAGGAAGATAAACAATTCAATTAAAAAATGGGCAAAGGACCTGAATAGACACTTCTCCAATTAGGACATACAGATGACCCATAGACATATGAAAAGATGTTCAACATCACTAGCCATCAGAAAGATGCAAATTAAAACCACAATGAGATACTACCTCACACCTGATTAATAAATCAGTGAACTAGTGCTTGTGAGGCTGTGGAGAAAAGGGAAGCCTAGCGCACTGCTGGTGGGAGTGCAGACTGGTGCAGCCACTGGAAAACAGTATGGAATTTACTCAAAAAACTAAAAATGGATGTGCCTTTTGACCCAGTGATTCCACTGCTGGGAATATACACTCAGTATCGCAAAACACACATTCAAAAGAACCTATGCATTCCTATATTCACAGAATCGCTATTTACAATAGCCAAGTGCAGGAAGCAACCTAAGTGTCCATCAGTAGATGAGGGGTTCAAAAAACTGTAGTACATTTACGCAATGGAATACTATGCAGCAGAAAGAAAGAAGGAGCTCCTGTTTTTCAACAGCATGGATTGAACTGGAGAATATTATGCTAAGTAAAATAAGCCGAGAGGTGAAAGACAAATAACATATGATCTCACTTATAAGAGGAATCTAGTGAACAAAATAAACTAATGAGCAAAATGAAACAAGAGGCATGGAAACATGAAACAGACTGACAGTGGCCAGAGGGGAGGGGTGAGGGAGATAATTGTAGAAAGAAAGGGAAGGGATTAGTCGAAGAATATGTATGAATGACCCTTGGACATGGACAACAGGGTGGGGATTGACTGTGGAAGCGGGAGAGTGGGCTGGGTGATGGAGGGCAAAGGGGGAAAAATTGGTACAACCGTACCAATATAGAATAACAATAAAAATTTTTTAAAAAGAATAAAAGATGAGAATATGGGGATTTTAATTTCATTGTATTTTCTGTTACTTTTTCAATACTCAGGAATTATCAGAAGAATCTATAGCCATTTGATGTAATAAAAATAATTGTATACAAGGTAATGAATAGCAAATATCTTTTAAAAATTTAAATGAAAGACTGTCTAAGACAAAGATTGTAATTCCAAATTAGTTAAGAACTTAAATTATGTCATGGTTTCTACATATTTCTTTTACCTTTGCGGAGTGGGCAAAGAGTGGTGAGGGGAATAAAAAGACGGGAACTAGTAAACAGCAGTTAGTATTATTAGTGATTTTCTGCATTTTCTGTAATACTACTCACTTAGCAAATTTCACTTCTGTAAGATTTAGGGTCTTTCCTCAGTTCTTTTATACCAGACTACTTCCTTTCACTCCTAATTCAATGGCTAACTAGGTTCATCTGTCTTTAAAAGCACAGGTTGCTGAAAATATTGAAAACACAGAAAGTTGAAAACATTTGGAGAACATGGGTACTTTGATTTATGTTGTTAATTCTGTATGGGCTGTAAAGCATTCAATTTTTTTTGCTGTTTTACATGAAGTCATTTTTTATTATGATCATATCTTCTTCCTTGGTTTTTGTAGACAACTGTGTGTTATTTATAGTCAATCCATAACAAAGAACTCCATTCTCAAAAGTTTTGCAGATACTATGGATGCTTTTATTTGATTTTGCTCTGTCATGTCTTAGTGAGATGGCTGTCACTCCAGGTGAGTAGACATGTAGGTCTCCTTCCATTTGCACAAACAGACTAGGTAGGCTTCAGTATTTCTAAACCACGTGTGAATTGAATACTTCACTGTTAGTCCCCAGGCTGGGTAATAGGGCTCCAGAGTGGGTAAGTTTTACGGCTCTAGTTCTTAGGTTACGTTTGGATATGTCATAAATGCTAATAAACATACCACCCTTTCAGGTAGAGAATGTGAAGACGTGTGTGTGCCACTCTTGACACTATTTTCACTTGTCTTGGATTTTCTCATATGTGACAGGCGCCCCCTAGTGAATAGTGGGACTTAAATTGGCTTCCACTACAGAAGGAACTGTTTTTAAAATTTTGTATTTATTAAAGATGCTGAAGTTTGGTGTATGTGAATGAGGGTGAGCGTAGGATCTGTTCTTCATTAAAAACATTCAGGATTTCACAAAATAGAAGTAGTAATCAATCTACTACATAAAGTTCAAACTAACCTGAACTTTGCTAGATCATCAAAGTACATGAATAGGTCATTAATCTTTACTGTGTCTCCAAATGTGTAGACTTCGCTGGATTTCTTATATAGCTACTGGAATCTGATACATATAACTTGGGGGTTGAGACTTGAGAAACCATAATTTCAATCCAAAAAATTTTAATTTGGTAAATATATTTGATAAATTACATTCTATTTGGTTAATTTCAAGATTAGGATATTTAATGAAAACTGTGATTGCTTAAATGATACAATAAATCAGTTACCTTTAATTACCTCTTCTCTCCCTAAAGCTTTTGCCACCTGTAACAGTCCTTGTTATGTTCTGAAAAAAGCGTGTTATAATTTTGACACCATCATAAATATTATTATTTATAGCACTGAGTTAAGTCCTCAATGTGGAACAAAAAATTATTCTTATCTTCTAAGATGCTTCCAATACAAAATAAAGTCAAATAATATATAACCAGGTCAACTGGAAAATAAATCAAATAAACATGAAAGAAAATATTCACATTATCTTAACAATGTCAGAAAAACAAAAACAATCACACACGTGACTCAGTGGCCTTTAAATGGAGCATCCTAAACTAAGAATTAGAGAAAAGGTTAAACAGAAAGTAGGTGACATGTTTAAATAAGTAGGTGAAAAGATTATTGGACTGTTCTCAAAGGCCTTAACGGCAGAAACTATCAAATTATTAATTTTATGTAGTGTATTTTTGCTAGTTTTCAGGGGTAGATTGTCCTGTTGCCTCCCACCTTATTATCTAAACAAATTTTTTTAAAAAGTTACTTTTTCCTTGTTTGCCTAGATTGTCCTTTTAGATTGACCTTATTTTCTTCAGGTCCAAGCTGACCTCTCTTAACTATATAAGGCACCTTTTTGGTCCTCCCTCTTCTCTGATCTCCTAATGGCCTAATTTAGCACAATTATGTCTCTTTGATTATTCCATGTATATTAAAAGGCTCTACAGAACAAGTGCAAACATTCATTCAAATTAAAGTTGACCCCTGAAAAGTCGGCGGGGGTGGGGGTTAGAGTTGTCGTCCCGCAGCAGAATATTCGCTTATTAACTCAAGTAGTCCTTTCGCACACGCGGATTCTGCACTGTATTTATTAATTTGTTAATAGGAAGACCCCTAGGTCCATTCTCCATCACTGTAGCTGCACGAGTTTAGAGGCATAACTTGTGCATTTCCCTTGTCCTGGTGGCAAGCATGCACTGACAGGGGTGAAGGAAAGAGAACCCAAGAAAAGGCAAAGTGAATGACAGGTAAGGACGAACGCACCTCGCCAACTTCACCCTTCAGCACAAAACGCCCATTATCCCCCGTCGTGTTTCCTAAGATGTATCCGGGGCGGATGCAAGGTCACTCGTGGGACGGCTGCGTACTCCTCCGCCGGGCTCGATGCCGGGGCGGGAGGCGGAGAAAAAGCCCAGGGAGACCTGCGGGGAAAGGTGGCGACCTGGGAAGGGGCCCGGACCAGGAGGCCGGGGCGGGGCGGCGCGCGCCTGCGCCGACTGGGCTGCCACCGCCCCCCGCCGCAGCATCCCTTCGCAAGAATCCTCGCGCGCGGGCGGGAGGAGGGGCGCGCAGGCCCCTCCGCCCCGCGCGCGTCCACGTGACGCCAGCCGAGGAGATTGGAGCGGCGACAGCAGGAGGAGGCAGACGGGTGCAGCGCTCGGCGCTCACGGCAGGAGCTTCTCCTCTTCCTCCTCCTGAGACCCTTGACGGTGCCTGCTCCATCGCCCGGCCGGTAGCTGCCGCTGCTGCTGCTGCCGCCGCCGCGTCCCCGCTGCCGCGGCGCCCCGAGCAGGAGGAGAAGACGCACCTGGGCCGCCGCCGTTAGAGGGAATCCCAGCCGACGCTCGCTCCCTCCCTCGGCTGTTGCCTTCGAAGTCTACCCTGCCGCGGGGTCTCCGCCTTCTCTTCCCGCTGTCGCCAGCTCCCGCTTATCGCCGCGATGGGGATCCTGGACTCTGAGCAGGGCAGTGTCCTGAATGCGGTGTCCACGGCGCTGAACGACACGGTGGAGTTCTACCGCTGGACCTGGTCGATCACAGGTAAAGCCTCTGGCTTCCCCGTCCTCGCCCGGCCCTTTGGGAGACACAAGCCCCCTGCGGCTGTTGGGATGCTGTCGGTCAGAGGAGGTCCCGGGCGCGGGGACCGCGGTGGGGCACTGGTTAGTCTGCTCCGAACGTTAAGGCCTCACCACCCCTCTGCGCCTCCACCCCCCACGCTCGCACGATTTTCCTCTGAGCTTCCACCATCTCTCATCAGTTTCTCAGATGCAGTAGCTGACATATCAGATGGAGCCTGTGCTGCGTGGAGCTCATCTCAGGAACCTCCCTATCCTATATTGCCACCTCTCCAGATCTCATATGACAGCCCTAAATTATGCACAGGGTTGATTTTTAACATTTAGTAATATTCCATATGGAGAACTCGGGCGGGGGCGGGGGTCGTGAACTCCAGAGGTAGCTGTGTTTTTGCTTCTTTGGCCTCCGGGTTGCTTTGACACAACCTGCTAACCTGCTAATGTTTTGTCTAGCTCATATAGTATAATTTGGAAGGAAAAGCAAAAAGCATTGTTTGGTTCCCTGAGCCTCGAAGAACGTTAGTTTGTGAGGCTTTTCAACAGTAAATATGTTGAAAGTGATTGTTTATAATGGCTTTGCGCAGTGCAGTGCTGTCTGGGGGAGGGGGGACTAAAACACTAGGAAAGCAATGTGTTTAGGAAGGGGGTCTCTACAGCAGCACCTAGAGGTTGTCCTAGAAGCCTACATATACAGTTTTCTTAAATCAGCCAACTTTTCCCTATGGTTGCTACAGTGTATTTGACAGTATTGTCCGTTGGTTGATTTATGCAGCCCTTCTAGCAGAAGCTATTGTGATGTTATTTTTACATTTCCCCACGTATTTTGTCCAGTTGTTTCAGTTGGTGTGGTTTTAAGGCATTTAAAAGTTTTGAAATGAAAATTAACAGGATTTTAGAAATGATCTTACTTCAATTTTTTAGTCCTTTTGCAGTATTGCACTGCGTTGCAGCAGGGGACGCAATTAATTTTGCACATTGTGACTCTGCCTTCCTAGAAATTATAATATATTCCTGTAGTTTTTGTATCTGTTAGAGTAAATGGAATAGTAGTAGTTACAGCATGAATACATTACAATGCATGAGATATATAATATAAATGTGTTGCTATAATTATTTCTGGGTGAGACAAATGATTCTTTGACATTGATGTGGCTTTAACTTCTTTTGAAGAGTGTATTCTTTTTCATAAGTTCTCAAGTTTGATACAGAGAAGCTATTTAATTAGCCATTGCAGTTGGAAATGGTTGAAAAAGTTTTTAATGAAGCTTTTCCTTTTCAAGTCTTTCTTTTGCGTACTGTTACACTAAAGTTATGCTGTACCTACAAAACCTGGGAAAGATACATATATATATATATATATATATATATATATATATATGCTTCCCTTCATCTCTGAAGTGATTTTGATTATTTAAACATTGCATCAGGGTTTCCCATTACACAATTGTGCAGAGCCAAACATCAGACAAGCTCTGTGGCACGTAATTGCACTTTGAATACTTTAGAGTTCAAACATTGTCATGGTCCTCCAATCTCCATATAGCCAGAGCCACGCCCAGGAGTTCTCATTCCTGTCTGTCATTCCCTTCCCACCTCCTGAGTCTCAGAGTGACTTGAGAGCAAAGATAGAATATACCTTTGTATGATGGTTAATTCCTTCCTAATGATGTTTGTATAAAAAACATCACAAATGAAATGGGGAATTTTTGCAGTTGCCTTATGTGAAAGCTTGCTACTTGCATGGGAAGACATAAAATAATATTCTGGGCTAAGACTGAGGAGTGAGAGTAGCCACTGGGACCAAATGACCTCCCACTAGCAGGTCAGAGGGAAGGTATTCACCCATTCCCTCGCTATCCACTTACGAAACCTGAGACTGCTTCCTTGCTTTCTGTAATCAGCTACCTAGTGTAGGTAGATGGTATTTCTTAACTAACTTAGAGGCTTAGTGGGATACAGCCTGTTCTGCCTTGCTGATGTGTAAGGAGGCGCATTTTTCAGATTCAGGCAGGACAGACATGAAGCCTATGGTGTCCCATTTCCTTTTATTGCCTCATCCCCTCCCTTTCATGCTCTCCAGGTACCTTTTCTTTGACTCATCAACAATGATCCAATTCCAAGAGGATCACTTCTCACTGTAATTTTATGAAAACCTGGGTGAAGGAGTTTCAAAGTACAAAACAAGCCTGTTAGATGAGGCTGAAGAAAAAGTTGATGAGTCAGATATTTGGAAAGGGGGGAAATAAAAATGGGTGGAGAGAAAGATGGTCTTGAGAAATAGTGGTGACTGTTGTGAAAGGCTACAGATTATTCAGGGAGAGCAAGAAATGAGTGGAGCTCTGTGTCCTTGAGTGCTTTCATCCCCAGAACTGGCTGTGCTTCTATCTTTCAGTTTTATTAGTTCATTAAATATTCCCCTCCCCCCAAGATTTCTAAGTGTAAATAACCTGTATCTACGTTGGACTGTTATAATAGGAACAATACAGATCTGTAGAATATATTTGATGATCCAAGAGATTTTTGTCTTAGGGCAGACAGTATCTGCAAAAGTATTATTTTGAGCTATTTTATCAAATAATGCTATTTAATAAAACATGTCCAAAGCAATATATAAAAACCGGGTTTTTCAACAGCACATATCTAGCAAATAACAGCGTATGGTCCATAGTGTGTTAACACATAAAATGTTACTTTTACTATATTGTTGACACTTTGTACATTGAATTGAAATTTTGAAAGAGTCGTACTTTTAGAAAAATAACAAAAACTTTTTTACTTCCATCTACTATTATCTTTTTAAATATTTTAAACAAGTAATCTTGGCTTATATTATGTAAGAGAGTATAGAGTGATGTGGGACTTTGCACCAATTTGTGGTATGAGAGTAGGCAGGTACTCTGATGGCAATGTGTTTGTTTTTTCTATTCTTTTACTTACGAGTATATTAAAATTTTTAGGACCAGTATCCTAGACTCAAAGTGAATATCTAATCAAGAGATGTAAACTGACAAACCTAAATATTCCCCAAATCTGTAACAACCCAAATTATCTACATCATCCATTGTGTTCATTCATTATTTTAATAAATGCTTATTAGTAACCTTTTGTGTAACTGACATTTAGCATAAAAACATCTAAAGAGTTAATAGCTGCAATAATAGTTAATAGCCTTCCCACAGTAAGACCAACTCTCTCCTGAATTACTGTGTTTCTTTTTTAATTAATGTTTTTAAACAGCCATTGTTCATGGAGCGTGTATGCACATGCATGTGTATGTGTATGTATGTGGGGGGGGCTGGCATTGCTCTCTGTTTGCAGATATAGTGTCCAACATTTTGAGGAAAAATTTGTGTCTACTTGGGAGTTTAAGTTAGAGCATAAAAGGCCAGCCTTGCTGGATCCTTAAATTTACTTTGGAGGGGGCATAAGGGAGAAGGAGATGAATGGTAGAGAAGGAGGAAGAATGATGGTGAAGTTTGGAGACTAGGCTTAAAAAGAAATTCTTTCCACATGACTTGCCATATGCAGGCACAGTACTGGGCTCTGGGAAGAGAATGAGAACACTGGATCATTAATTGCCTTCATGCAGCTTCCAAGTCTAAAGGGTCAAGGCCATGGTCTGAGATTAGCGTGACCAATCAGCCAGGCCTAGCGGGGGCCCAGGGAAGGTTAGAAAAGTCCTTCTCTACTCTTCTCATCTCTCCTTCTACCGGTACTACAGTCTTGAGTTGTGACAAGAATATTCAAGCTCTGTTTTAGAATGTGTGTAATCATGTGAAGCCGCTGTGGATGCTGTTGGAGACTACTTGGAAACTGGTGGTGTGCTCAAGGGTCAGAGAGTCACCTGGTTTGCCAAAGCTGGGGGCTTGTGGGAGGGGACCTTTAATCAGCGTGAATAAGCTGGGCTAAAAGCAGGTCTGTTCCAGAGATTGCTAGGCCCCGAAGAAGCATGTGTTTTAAACATTGTATGGTATCTTTACATTCATTTGATTATTATTTATCACAGTTAATGTACACACCTTTGTTACTGTCAAAAGTAGGTTTTGTTTGTTGGTTTGGATTAGTCTGGGAACCCAGTCACCATTTTCAGTTTTTCTCTGAGAAAAGGTATTCCAAGTTCTAGGCAGCTAATTGAAGACAAATAAGTATAATATTACCAGTTCCTAACATGGGAGCTCCCTTGGTCGGTGTTTTCCATGAGGCTTTAGAATTATCCTTCTCTGATAACTAACCTGAAGATTTTAAGAGGTCCATGCCATTTAAGGATTTTCTGGGGTTTTTTTTTTGTTGTTGTTGTTAGGTTAGTTGGTTGGTTGTTCTTGTTTTTTTCCCTTCACCAGAGCCTGGTTTTAGGTGGTAGAGTCCTGGACTTCAGTGGCTGAAGTTTTTGTCCATTTCCCCAACAGCATATAGTAGAAATCTTATCACAGGTAGAATTGTAAGAGGGTAAAAACAATGCTGATTCGAAAACTGGTCTCAGGACACAGTTTTACAGTTTGTTTGGCTTAGAGAGAAGAGGTTTTAACACTTACACAGATCATTATTAGACAATGCTTTTGTGATCTTAAGGGCCGCAAAGAAGTTGGTCATCCTCTTAAATTTCAATTTGTTTTACTTTTTTCTCAAGTCATATGAGATTGTCATTAGTGAATGATATGTTATTGACATATTATTTTGGGTTTGAATCATTTACTATTTTGAGTCACTTATTTTAAATTAAACATATATTAGCAAACAGAGAAGAGTTGCATAACAATTCATCTTTTCTCATTTTGGATGGCTCTTTTATTTTCCTTTTCATTATCAGCGCATTTCTCCTTAACAAATCAAGGTGCTATTGTTTTATTTTCCCTTGGAAGGAGAATGTATTAGAATATATTTTAAAAAAATCATATGGTTCTATTTTGTTCATTAGTTTATTTTGTTCACTAGGTTCCTCTTATAGGTGAGATCACATGGTATTTG